AGGAGGAGGAAGAGGAGGAGGAGGAGGAGAAAGAAGAAGAAAGGAAGGAAGGGGGGAGGGGGAGGAGCAGAAAGAAGAAGGAAGGAGGAAGGAAGGAAGGGGAGGAGGAAGAGGAGGAGAAAGGAGAAAGAAGGAAGGAAGGAAGGAAGGAAGGGGAGGAGGAGGAGGAGGAAAAAGAAGAAAGAAGAAGGAAGGAGGAAGAGAAAGAGTAGGAGGAGGAGGAATAGGAGAAATAGAAAAAAAGAACTTTCTTTCCAAAGTCGCAATTCAGTCCAACGATGTCACATTTTGCTCTATCCCCTCTCCAAAGTACCTTGGATGGGTGTATATATGGCTTATTTGAACATAAAAAACAGCTTACCCACAGGAAGCCCCAAAACATGTCTTGGGCTCGGCAGGGCGAAACGAAACTTTCTGGTGTCATGACTAACGTGCTGAAAAGAGAGGAATAAAAACTTCACAAAACGATAGCAGAGTTATACGTGCTCCATCCAAGCCCAAATGTTGGGAGTCAAGCCGGAGCTGCATTTCAGAGCAGTGTTGACTGAGGAAATAAACACAGTTCCCAACAGCACCCAACCAAGACCGACGGCTTAACAGTCTTTCATTGTTTGAGGAGCTTTCCACCGACCACACTCAGAAGCTTCTACTCTTTCACCTCTGAGGGGCAGTGAACCCAATAGGCTGCATTTAGGAGTGTCTCAGGGGGAGTACGTGTGGGTCAAAATTGTGGCTTTGACCATACAGTTGAAAGCCAATTCATTTGGGCAGGCCACAAATATAGGACATAGTATAACAGAGATGGAAGGTCTTCTAGTCCAACCTCCTGCTTGACCCTATACCATTTCAGAGAAGTGACTGTCCAGTCTCTTCTTAAAAGCCTCCAGTGATGGAGCACCTACAATTTCTGGAGGCAAGCTGTTCCACTGGTTAACTGTTCTCACTGTTAGGAAGTTTCTCCTTAGTTCTAGATTGCTTCTCTCCTTGATTAGTTTCCATCCATCGCATCTTGTCCTGCCTTCAGGTGCTTTGGAGAACAGCTTGACTCCCTCTTCTTTGTGGCAGCCCCTGAGATACTGGAAGACTGCTATCATATCCCCCCTCGTCCTTCTCTTCATTAAACTAGACATACCCAATTCCAGCACCTGTTCTTCATATGTTTTAGCCTCCAGTCCCCTAATCATCTTTGTTGCTCTTCTCTGCACTCTTTCCAGAGTCTCAACGTCTTCTTTATATTGTGATGACTAGAACTGGATGCAGTAAGTGTGATCTTATACCAAGGCGTTATAAAGCGGCACTAGTACTTCACGGTACTAATACTTTACATCAGGGGTAGTCAACCTTGGCTCTTTTATGACTCGTGGACTTCAACTCCCAGAATTCCTGAGCCAGCACAGCTGGCTCAGGAATTCTGGGAGTTGAAGTCCATGAGTCATAAAAGAGCCAAGGTTGACTATCCCTGCTTTACATAAAAGTGGGCAGGGACCCAAGTGCACAGCCATCAGCTAAATTTATGATTTTTTGACCCTATATACATAGGAAGGGGAATTCAGATTTTGGCTTAATGTCATGGTTCTGACAGATGAAATTCTTCAAAGAACTTTGAGGTATTGTTTACCTTAAAGAATCTTTATTGGAGTAGCATAGCTTCGGCACTAACATAGTTGAAGCCAAAATCTGAATTCCCCTCCCCTGAGCACATAGTATCAAAGCACAATTCCCTCCTCTAATTAACAGCCATAAATTACATTCTCCAATTAGTTTGAAATGCAGGCTTTCCCTCCAGTTCTTCAACCCGCCATTTCTTATCATCTCTTATTTCAAAAGCACTGAATTCACACACTATTACAATATTGTTATGTCTAACTAACTCCCATCACATTTCTCCTCCTCTCCCAGAATCATCTAATTCTAAGAGTAAAGCATAAGGAAGAATAAGGCTGCATCTCCATATGTTGTCAGAGCAAGAACGTCCAATGTTAGCAGCATTGACACATAGATATTACGGACTACAGTGCCCACGTGACAAGTCCATACTAAGGTCTAAACAAAATTAAACAAAACAGGAGTCCAAAAACACCACACACATCGTAACAAGCCTTCTTTCATGGCACACAAGGCTGGTACACAGATCAGATCGATAAATCCAGAGCTGGAGATAAGGTCACATATTCAGCAAATATAATGAGTTGTGGCCATAAAGGAACCATTTCAGAATTCAAGGCAGTGAGTTGGCTGTTCAAATGATCTATATTTCTAATTTGCATAAATTAGAAATCAGTGCAGCTGCAAATTCAGAAGGTTAGTTTAGCCTTTTAGGAAAGAGTCCCAAGCAGGAGGAATTATTATGAGGTCGGTCCACCCCATCTGAAATAATAAATATGGGTGTATTAGATCTCCAGTTCTCTAATTTCACAAACGAGGCTTTCCACTTGATTTATCAAGTTACACGTGACACAAGCACTGCACACCAGTGTCACCCCAAAATGACTAATTTCCCATCAATGTAGAATTTTATTTTATTTTCTACACTGTTTTTTTTCTTGATTGTAAGCCACCTAGAGTCACTGTGAGCGAGTAGGTGGCTATATAAATTTTCTAAATAAATAAATTTAAATAGAAAGGAGAGTTAGCTCAACATCCAGTTTTTCAACCTCTCCAAATTACGAAAGGCTGCAGCGTTAATTTACATTCTGCAATATTTCTCAGTGCATAGAATGCTTTTGATTGATTGATATTGATAAAACTGCCACTTATCAACAGTTATTATAGTTTATTTCAATCTCAGTTCGTCTGCATATGGACCTCATTTTGAGTATTAAAACATTTTTTAAAAAATCTGCTGTAACAAGAGACGGGCACTTAAGAGAGAGAAATAAGAGAACAGGTTATTTGTTACCTCTTTATCGATCAGCCGTAATGCATATTTTACTTCTGGGTTTTCCAACGTGATCGGAGGCAGAGATTTCGAGAAAAGTCGCTTGATCAAACTGATCACAAAATAGATTGGAGACAGGAGAATGTTTCCCAACTGTAACATAAAGAAAGAAGATGTTGCATTCGGTATCCTGACTTGAGAAACAGAAATAAATTAGAAAATGGCAAAGAACAACAACAACAGAAATAGAAGTGCCTCTTTACGAAGCATGAAAGCCTCTCATGTAATTGCATATAAATATATTATATTAGATAGTATTAAAAATATTGAGTTCTTCCTTTCTAAATAACTAATCAGGCGATACGTGACTTGTTCACATTGTCTCGTAAAGAGAAGAATAGGGAGAACGGAGAAAAATGTGTCTATTCACAACTCTTTAAAAGTTCCCAAGTATTCTGCATAAATTACCTCTACAATCGATTCAATAACCCTGTTAGTTAGATCAGGATTATTCCGGACATACCATGAGATAAGAACAAGGAGATTTATTCAAAACTACAGTAGTGGCCAAAATTGTGGAAACCTTTTGGGAAAAGTGTATTTTTGAGGTTTGATGGCTAATAACACCACTTTTTGGGGGGAATAGTGCCATAAAATTATATATCCATGGAAAGATAATTTAATCAAGAATGTAATACAACATAGTTTGTTCAACTATCTGTACTGTATTCTATGAAAAGCTATAGCCAGATAACCAGAAAAAGGAAACACAACTTGCTTAGGTTGATCTCAGGTAGCTTTCCTTCATCTGATTGTAGCCAATGAGCATGAGTGTTTACAGAGACAATCGGGTGTCATCTTGTTTTGGCAACGAGCCAATTAGATCACAGTAGGATCCGGTGATTGATGTCATGTATTGAAGCTGAGAGGAGGACATTTGTCAATGTGTTATGGGATCGCTATCCAGTTGGTTGGGTTTTTTTGTGTGTTCTTTCATTTAGTGAGCTTGTAAAACGTAATAAAATTAAAGCCATGGTGCAAAGAGTTGACTGGTCGCCCAGAAAGCGATGTAAAATAGTATTATTAAGTGAACAAGGCTACAGTTGTAAAGAAATTAGAGGAAAAATGGCTGGGAAACTTAACCAAAGGTGGCATTTCTACTGTACACTTTTCCCAAAAGGTTTCCACCATTTTGGCCACTACTGTATACAGTGAATGTTGGGGGTGTGGTGGCTCAGATGTGAAACATGTTGAGTTTGTCGGATGGAAAGCTAATAGTCTGGGTTTGAGACCTGAGCTCTGCGTGATGGGGTGAGCTCCCGTTCCTTGCCTCAGCTCCTGCCCACCGAGCAGTTTGAAAGCATGCAAATGCGACTAGATTAATAGGTACCACTTTGGTGGGGAAGTAACCGCATTCCATGACTTTCCTGGCCCATGACCACGGAAATTGTCTTTGGGCAATGCTGGCTCCCTCGGCCAAGAAACAGAGGCGAGCATTATCCCCTAGAGCAGGGGTAGGCAGCCTTGGCTCTTCTATGACTCGTGGACTTCAACTCCCAGAATTCCTGAGCCGGCTTGGCTCAGCTTGGAAACCTCTCCCTTTCCCCTCAGCGTGGCTGGCTCAGGAATTCTGGGAGTTGAAGTCCACGAGTCATAAAAGAGCCAAGGCTGCCTACCCCCTGGCTTAAGTGGAGCATTTGAGCTTCACGCCAATTGTTTTCATATACTTTGATGAAACTCGTGGGGAAGCAGCGTTTTGGGGTTTAATTTCACTGTGTCTTGCACTTTATCATGGGTTCTGTCATTGTGTAGACTGGGTCAAATCGGTTGTGTTAATGCAGCGTTCCCCAGCCTTTCTGGATTGGCGGCCTTATGTGTGTGTGGGTGGGGGGAAGGAAGAAGGGATGGTTTTGTGTGAGGGGCAGCCACGCCTCACACAAAAGTAAGTAAAGACTTACATTAAAACAAGCTGACTATGGTTTTGGGGTCTCCCTCCCCCTGTTTCTTAAGGTGTGAGAGAGTCCCTCCTGCTTTTAAATTACCCAGCAGACTTTTTTTGTAAATTCAAAATCAAAAGCCTCGTGAGAATGACATGACATCCCAATGACTTTCTTCTGGGTCAGGGGTAGGCAACCTTGGCTCTTTTATGACTCGTGGACTTCAACTCCCAGAATTCCTGAGCCAGCATGGCTCAGCATGGCAACCTCTCCCTTTCCCCTCAGCATGGCTGGCTCAGGAATTCTGGGAGTTGAAGTCCACGGGTCATAAAAGAGCCAAGGTTGCCTACCCCTGCCCTAGAGTTCGACATGATTGGACAGAGGAAACCTTTTGAATGTCTATCTGAATAAATGAATGGTGGGATTTTCCTTTTAATTCCCAGGAAGGCTTGGATGAGAGATGTCTTCACTTCCCTGTCACTTGCACACATCCCTGTGTAGCTAAAAACATGGCTTAATAGATAAAATGTACATATCTCTCAGCAGCAAAAATGTTCTATAAGCAATGTTATCCGGAAACACTTCCCCCCGATAAGATGCTGCAAAGAAGTGATGGGTTGTGAGTCTATTTCCCCTCCAAAATATGGTATGACAATCAGCATTGGCAATGTAAGCCAGCGAATTGCAAAAGACGGCATTTCAGTGCTGCAACATCTCCCACACCAAATAGCAGAGATTGTCCTTCCAAGTGCCAGCAGATAACATTTGGCCTTGGGGATCTTCTTACTAAATCGTTCTTTCCAATTGCTCAAACCTTCCCTTCATCCCAAGGTAATGTCTTCATGACATTTGCTTGCGAAAGTGAAACGTACTTGAATTTTCGACACAGGACACACGTGTGGGCTATTTGTCTAATTGGGTTTACAGGGTTGGCCTTGGTGATGCAACGCCTGATGTAACAGCAAGTGAAAAAGATAATATCTATCAGTATCCAAGTCAATTCTAAACCTAAAAGAAATCGACCCTGACTCTTCTTTGGAAGGACAGAGGCTGAAGATGAAGCTCAAAGACTTTGGCCACCAAATGAGAAGTGAGGACTCCTCGGAAAAGATTTTGATCAAAGACGGAAGGCAAAAGGAGAAGGGGACGGCAGAGATAGCAACAGCAACAGCCCCTAGACTTACACACTGCTTCACAGTGCTTCACGGCCCTCTCTAAGTGGTTTACAGAGTCAGCATCTTGCCCCTCACAATCTGGGTCCTCATTTTACCGACCTCGGAAGGATGGAAGGTTGAGTCAACCTTGAGCCAGTGAGGATTAAGTGGGCAGAATTAGCCTGCAATACTGCATTCTCACCACTGCATACCATGGATGGAAGGAAGGAAGGAAGGAAGGAAGGAGAAAAGAAAGAACAGAAATAGCAATAGCACTTAGACTTATATACCGCTTCATAGTGCTTTGTAGCCCTCTCTGTGTGCTTTACAGAGTCAGCCTCTTGCCCCCAACAATCTGGGTCCTCATTTTACCAACCTCGGAAGGATGGAAGGCTGAGTCAACCTTGAGCCAGTCAGGATCGAACTGCTGGCAGTTGGCAGAATTAACCTGCAATGCTGCATTCTAACCACTGCACCACCACGGCGCTCATAGTTAGATAGTGTCATTGACGCAATGACCATGAATTTGGGCAAACTCCGAGAGATAGCAGAGGACAGGAGGCCTGGCATAGCGTGGTCTATGGAGTTGTGAAGAGTCGGACATGACTCAGCAAATAACAGTATTCAGGTCAAGAAAAAAGGAAAGCCATGTACCGTGCAGAATTGAGAAAATGCTTTTAACTGACCGTAGGGAACGTTCTAGACCAGAGCTTTTCAAACTTTTTCAGGTCGTAAAAACTTTTTTAAAAAAATAAATCCCTGAATTCCTGATCAAGAGAAAAAGCTCAAATTTTAGAAAATTGGTTGCGTTTTGAGTCGGTGCTGGATAACAAACTGAAAATAATAATAATAACGAATCCCTCTTCTAGATATGGGGACATGGCTAATTTTCTTCCGTATATTTTTCTTCTCCCATTTTCTTTTCACCCTCCAATCTCACACACGTGAGTTTTGCTGTATTTTTTTATACAATTTGGTTATCTCGTCAATCCTCCCTTCAGCTGAGTTGACCTTCAAGTTGTCTCATTGTGTGGGCTCATTTTAATGGGAAGTGACTATCTATTGAGGTTAGATGATCTCAACTGTGGGCACAAGGTTTAAAACATGACTCCAAAGCCAACTCATTCAAGATTCTTCTCTTAACAACTGACTCGGTCTTATTTTAAAATAGTTGTGCTGTACCAACAACTATGTTCTTATTATAATGCCACTTCACAATTAGGTTAGCTTTCGGGGCCTTAACCAATTTGACACAGTAATTTTTCAGGAGTTCTGATTTTAGAGAAACACTCTTTTTATAAACATCTCATAGAAGTTTTGAAAGGTAGGGAAATATAAAAGGAATGTAAGACTACATTTTGTTCAAATATTCTTTAAAATGGAACCCTACTTGCCCTATCATTGTTACACATCAAATGTAGGGAACAAGTTAGTGTCACCATTACCTTCTCAATAATAAGTGCTAAATAAACAATTCCGAATTTAGGGTCCCCCCCCCCCAGTTCTGCACCAGGGATTCCTGACTGAATTGTGTTACTTGAGAACAATGTTGCTGAAAAGCAACCAGATCCATTTGCAAAGCTCACCAAATAGTAAAGTACATAGCAATTCCTGCCACCTAATAGCATCTACTGTATTACGGTGTTCTTCAACCTTGAGAATGTTAAGATTTGTGGACTTCAACTCCCAGAATTCACCAGCCAGCCACACATTTTAATATTGCTAAGACAGAAACACCGATTTATTGGTTTAAGGCAGCATATCTGTGACACAGGAGATGGCAGGGCTACACAAAACTTTAATCTGGAGTCCCAAACATGCTTTTTTCCAAGACGCAACTGGACTTTCTTGTTTTTCTTTGAAGAGCTTTCGCTTCTCCTCCAAGAAGCTTCTTCAGCTCTGACTGGATGGCGGAGAGATTTAATCTGGAGATTCCATTTGAAGACAATTCCTTCAAAACGTAGAGAGACTGAACTACAAAACTAATCTCCAAATTCCAAAGTTCAAATTGCAAAGTCGATTCCGATGCTTTTGAATTGAGCTGAGAATTTGTAAAAGCTTT